TTAAGTACATGTATCATTTCATCACTTATAATTAATAAGCACATTACAGTATCTACATACTTAGCATATTTGTGTTTTTCATGCACAAACTGAAGCATGTTTACGATACAGATATTGTAATTGCACTGTAAATTGAGCATCTTTCAATAACAAATCTTTATAAAAACTGCTTTGCACTTTGTGTGTGCAGTTGAGCAAATAAACTGCAATCCAACCAGATTATTTCAGCCCACTGAGCATTTAGTGGTGTACTGGCATTATACCAGCTGTGACCTTTTAGCTGAAGGTCATCAGTAGGCTCAACATCAGGTTCACTGCTGGTCTCTCATTACTCATGACAGAACAAGTGCTTCTACTCCAGCATTTCCTGATGGACATAACAACACAACCATGCTAGAGGACGAGAACATCAAAGCAGCATCCTCAATTAGTCATTTACTGTCATCACTTGTTGCTGTTCTCGCTGTCTCAACCAAACTGTGAGTGTCACACTGTGGAATGACATGTACAGTACATACTGTGCATGTACACAACAGACTGACTACAGTCCAGACTGCTCTTGACAGCTCGAATAAAACAGATGCATACTTTATTCTGGACTTAATTCTGACTCAGAGTGTGGAAGTGAGATGACGCCTCTGAGAACTTTTCCCAGCCCTGGTATCTTAACATAGTGTCTGGTGACATTTTCCTTTGGTGACAACTAGATATTTGATGGCTGCAACAGGACTGGCATCTGTGGCAGGCTGTTATGAATCCTGACCAAAGAAAGATTAAAAAAAAAAAGCCCTTTGAACATAAATACAAATGTGCAAATTTCTGTTAAGGTGTGTGAAATGAATGTAATTCTAAGTCATTAGTTACTTTCCTCCAATCACTGAATGACAGGAACTAAAACTAGTCAATATATTTCTGCTCCTCTATACACCAAATCAGGATTGTAAGGATCCATCGATCTGGATAGTTGTACTGATTCAATGATCAACAATCTGATATCATCTATGCAAAGTAAAAAACATCAATTCATATCATCATCTCTAAGATGGTGTTTTATTTTGAAATGCCTGTGGCAAATCTGTACTGCTGTCAAACAGCCCCAGGTGGATAATGGGAAGCAGCCAAGAAAAAGATGATGAGGAAGGTTATTTACTCAGGAATAAATCAGCAGTGTGAAAATACTTTGGATTTCAGAGAAAAGACAATTAAACAAGAAAGTACATACCATATGCAAACAATGACGTCACGAGATCATATAACCCCCCAAAAAAGTTGTGAAATAAAAAGAAAACAGAATGCAATGATTTGCAAATCTTTTCTGACCTTTATACAGTCCAAGGACAAGATATGTAATGTTAAATATATGTTTATATGTTTGTTTTTAATGCAGTGCCCTCTGAGGGGTCAAAGGCCATAGCCATTCAATGTCAGTTTTCAGCCTTGCCCCTTATGTGTAGAAATTTCTCCAGATTCTTTGAACCTTTTATGATATTAGGGATTGTACATGATGAAATCCCTAAATTTTTAGGCATCGTACAGATGACTTCTCATGTCAGCTGTCATAAACACAAATGCTGGTTCAGCCGGTTTGCATTAAATCAAACCAGTTTAAGCTCCAACACCGGACTGGATCAGTAGAACTGGAAATCAACCCCATTCTACTAAGAATAAAGGAAAGGGTGCTAGCTGCTAGGCTAATTCATGTAACGAAAAAGTGCTTAAGTTGAAAATGGCAACTCCCAAAAGACTGTTGTTTTGTCTATAACCTTGACAGTTATCCGTCAGCCGAATGTTAAACTTCTGTTAAATGTTCTTGTTGTTAAGCTGTTTTATGAGTGTTAGTGGAGTCAGTTTTAAATAACTTCCCTGCACTTAAAGTGCTACAATTATTTATGTGTTTTTTTTTTTGTTCTGTTGTTTTTGTTTTTTTCTTTTATGGGCAAAAGCAAAAAAAAAGTAGGTACAGCTTCTTGTGTAACCACCTGTGTTAAATAGGCACATGATATCAATCACAGGCCCCTGAACTGAACTGAATGGAGATTATATCATGGCAGACTTTGTGATATCAGCTAATATCATACTGTTGTCCAACAAATTGATATAACGTTGTATAATAACGAAACTAGTGATTTACACCCTTACAGTGAATGTCAACTAGGGGGACAAAATGCTGAACACACTAAAGACTACAGTCCACCACAGGATCACCACAAAGCACAGCCTCAAGTAAGATCAAACTGTGTCAACACCTTGTTGATACTGGTCTTTTTCCACAGACGACATTGTGACATGCCACTGTAGAAAAAGTGCAGGTATTATTGCTATTGCTGTTATTCAATTCATATCATTAGTAACATCTCTAGTTTTCCTTCAATAACAACATTTCTGCATGTCTATTTTTACAGAATTGTTATGCTGGATATTTTATAT